TAGATAAAGACGTTGTAGCCCTCTGATAGTTGGGACAAGTCTTCTACAATATTACATCGGAATCAAATCTAGCCACTCATTAAGCAATCTCATGAATTATTTCCGATGTCTGTGATAACAGACATACATATACCATATCGACAACAAGTTTTAAAGTCGATAAGTTATGGACAGATTAAATCTTTAACATATGGCGCTGAAGCTTGCTGGCTTGGATTCACCCATATGACGACGATACGAGATAAGAAGGTTAGTACGGGTGTTGGATGGCACCTCAAACTGCTGGATAGGACTATCTTAATCGCAGTTCGAGCTGCACTACCGGTGTGGCGAACTACACCGAATATAGTACTTCATAGAGAATCAGGCATCTTACCGGCAGAAATTATGCTACAGCAGCGACAGCTCCGAAGTGCAGCCAGAATCCGCCGACTCGATAGCTATCACCCATTGTCGAAAAGGGCAGTTAAGACGCCCAAGGAGGCCATAAAACGACTCAAACTCCGAGAGGGGCAGAAAGAACGTGTATTCAGGGTCCCAGAGCGATACCTAACACGTCTACAAAATGGGAACCTCAGCCTGCCCGCATAAGAAGGGCCTGGGCAGCTTTATCAACCTAAGATCGCGATGGCTACTGCCAGGGCCAAATGCGATAAGGAGGAAAAGGCAGAGCAAATCATGTTTTGGCTCAGGAATCTTACCCCAGCAACACTCTATGTCTACTCGGATGGGTCATGGACCGTCCCAGCATACTCAGCCTATGGCTACGTCATATATAGGGACGGTGAACTTATAGCGAGCGGTGGAAATTTCCTTCCTGGAGCTGAGATATTTGATGCGGAAATCATCGGGGCAGTACGAGGCTTAGAGGCAGCGTTAGAAATTGGAGGTAGCATAGATATAAAGGTACTCCTTGACAATCAAGAGGCGGTCGGAGCCCTTTAAAACGGCAGAATAAATTCCTCGCAAGTAGAGGTCAAGAATTTCTGGGAACTACGCAAGACTCGACCAGTGATAGAGGTCTACTGAGTTCCGGGACACAGCGGCATCCCAGGAAACGAAAAGGCCGATGCAGTGGCAAAGATATTCCTTGCGTCAAATAATCGGGATGGAAACATACTGGAACCAGAGTGCATCTGGGAGGAAACTCACGAAGTTCTGACTTTTGTAGCTCTCAAGCGCCAAGTCAACATCCGGGTACCAAAACTTGCGGAGGAATGGTAGCTTAAGAACAGATCGAGTGGGTATGAAGATCTGGACTTACTGATGCGGAGAAAACGCCCTCCGGAGTTAGCTCTACCTCGATGGGCATATCATCGCCTCATCGCAGCAAGGACTGGGCATGGTGACTTCGCCAGCTATCATAGACGGTTCCAACACTAGAGTGAAGAAATGCTTTGCAAATGAGGCCGAGAAAAGCGGCCATGGTATTTTGCAGAATGTCGCCTGGCTATTCAGAAATGGCGGACGGAAACGAAGGGACTACGTCCCATGATCTGGGATATGATAGGGCGAGAAGGATGGCAGAAATTCTGGCGTTTTTTAACTGGAACAAACTTTTACAGCAAGATTGAATCATGAACAGGGTATGTAAAGGTTAACTGTGATACTTCTTGGGACCTTTCGGTATGGTACGAGGACAAAGGTGCAGTGCAGGGCACTCGCACCTTAGAAATGGTGGTTTCATTTGTTTTTAGTTTTATGTGTTTAGGTTTCTACGAAACAATGCTGTAGGTAGCGAAGAGTCTTATTTAAATCTGGGCTACGCGTGCCATGCGCTCTGGGTGTAGGGCGTGAGCCTGATACGAAATGAATTCAAATCAAATGACTGTAAGGAAAGAGCACTGAGAAACCGGCTCAACCACCGTAGTGCAGAATACATTATTCTTCCCTAGTGCATGGTTAGTAGCACACATAGTTCACACATCTGTCATTAGAACTATTCCACACACCTGCATTCATATAGCCACGTACTCTTATATTAACTCTCTCCATTTATTGCGTGAGTTACTCATCGCGTCTCTTCGAAGCCACACACGTGCTATAGCCAGCACGTCACCTCAAGTATCACAATTATACCCCATAACCTATAACCAAAATACATACTGCCATGAGAAAGCTAGTTGGGCGCAGGGCGTTGCATCGTTGCAGCAGAATCTTCCATTATTTTTGGTTTTCACCTAAATTTTTTTGGCTATGTAGAGCTGGCTTCGGTGGGAGTTGTGGCTTCTCCGGAAAGCCGCAGGCGTGTCTAGGCTGATGCGTGAAAGTAGTCTAATCAGAATTGTAGGCCCCTGCGTCTGAGAATAGGCTCCACATAGTTTGGCGCTGCTCCTGCGGTAGACAGCGCAAGCTGCAGGCAAGTACCGGCTTTCCAGCAGTCACAATCAACCATGCATTCCACTCTGGAGTGCAAAGCTACCACTAATTGTCCAAAAGTGTCATAGCTTCGGTAGATTGTGGAGGCGAGCCTGCCTGGCACAGTCTCAAAGAGGTAAATAATCACTATGGGGCAAGCAAGTCAACAGAGACTTACAGCTGTAATCTAAGCAAAGCCTACTACCGATAGGCCTCAAGCAGATATTCATCCTGCGCCGAGAGATGCCATATTTTCCGGGGGACTCGAGTTTGAGGCTGTTGTGAGGTTAAAGATCGAGAAGGCTTTCGGGCTGTTGCGGAGGAAGGGAGAGGGGTAATCGAGCACAGGAGCAGGTGATCTGAGCTTTAGATGTAAAGCTGTGGAGTTGACAAGAGGAGCGATGAATATGGACTTTAGAGATATTCAGTTAATACAATGAAGCGAAGATCTCTGGAGGTGGGAGAGACGACATCTACATACAGGAATCAAACTTGGTATGACGAAAGTTGGCGATTGACGAGGTCCGTGCCAACGTCTCAACTTATCATTATCCAAATGACCTTTTCGCCTTGTGTTTTAGTGAACCTCCGCGACCAGGACAAGAAATAGACGTGACTACATTAAACCTGGAATCTAGTTACAAGTGAACTAAGAGTTACATGTAGTAGTAGTGCGCAGACAGAGATCCTGCATCGATACTGATGCAGAACTGTTTTATTATAACCGTGGCCTCATCATCCGAAGGGCAAATCTGAGGTGCAAGAAGCACCCCGAGGAAGTCAGTAGTAGTTCATGACCATTATTTCGAGGCGGCACCTGTTTATCTATCAATCAATTCTGGCCGAATTCTCTATCAAGCATAGGCGAGAGGAGCTTTATTAGGTGGCTAGCCAGGACGTGACCAGATGTGACGTAGATTGGTTTTTTTAACTTGTGGAATATTTGGAGGAGTAGGCACAAGAGAATATACTTTACAGGTCAATTGAAACCCCACTCATCTTCCGCTATGATATCACTGCAAGACTGAAATATATCGACGGGACCAACGGGTTTGGAAGAAGCCTGCCAATTCATCTTGACCTCTCCGCAAAGATTGACAAAATTTTCCATTTGAGGGGTGCGACGGGAGCGTAATGAGTCGAAGATGTCTTGCCGGGAACTCAGATGGAGGAATCTTCTACGATTTCGGATGTACCTCGCGCGCCTAGAATAATTCTGGCCTGTGCAGGGCGATCTCCACTAGATCTTCTGGCCCTGTATCTAGCGTGGATCCTAAATGCGGCGCAGAAACCGGCAAAACTGGTACTCCCGAGGGCGGTAAACGCCCGTCTGATTACCGCTTGCACTGGACATGGTGACTTGGCGAAATACCACCGTTAATTCAACTATACGACAGCCAAACTTCACTGCGAGTGTTGCAGAGGAACCCTAGTGATCATATTATCCATTGAAGAAAAGTGTGAGTATTCTAGAAAAATAACTTGCGCAGGGTTCACAGGTTCCTTGATTAATCCCACTAGGTTTATTGCTTAGCGAGGACAATGAAGGAATTTTCGTATCCGAGTCTGGGCCCTTCATGCTTCGTTTCCTATCTTTGTAAATAGTAACATACTCTTAATCACATCTTACTCTAGTCCTCTGCCACCCACTATGATCCAACGTCACCTCTGGCTACACCTTAACCACTTCACTGGAAAACCCTACGCATTTCTACTAGCCGTCTTTCCTCAGTACCCTCACGCTACGCTCTCTTTTGCGCCTAGTAGCCCTGCGCCTGACAAAAGGCTTTGGCTACATGGCGACTGAAAAGCTCAAGGTGAAGGGCGCCAGCACTGGGAGTTCTGCTCGGGTCAAGTGAATGGTGGCTTCATAGGGAGTATGTCCAGGATTACGGAATATACGTGTTAGTAAGTCTGGGGATGGTAGGAATAACTGTGACCAAAAGGTTATAAAACGATAGATTGAATAGTAAGACATGGAATGAACGATTGGAACCGAGGCTCAGGCGTATGGTGGCTGAGTTAGAATGACGGAATAGACATATGTTTCATCTTTCCTTTGTAATGCGGGATTTCGCGCAGGGTATTTCTTTTGTTTTAATTCTATGCTGTAGGACCTGTCATGACTCAACATATGGATGCATTTCGGCATGGTTCTGGCCATATATATGGGACGCGGCACATTTTTACCTGTAAGGCAATAGACCTGATCTAGCCTAACTCGACTCGTGCTTAAGCTTCAGTTCTATTGCTATCCGTCTCACTTTACCCAACACTTTAGTAGCCAGATAACAAAGGGGCTACACTAAATATCATAAATACCAGAAGATGGGTGATTGAGGAACTATTATAACTGAGCTCTGCTATAATTAATTAAAACATTAACAAGTAATACATGCCACTTTGCTTAAAACTAATGCTAAACCATGCAATACAAAATCCCTATCAAAACACCAAGACAAAACGCCCGGTCCTTGACTCCTAGGAGAAACTGAGCATAGCTTAGGACTTTAAAAATAATAAAAAGACAAAATCCCTTCATTCACCGCGACTATACAATGTCGTAAACACGCATTAAAGACTTCGTTCTATGATCTATTAGTTGGGTACCTCTCTTGATATCTCTAAACATACCCCTACTTTTATGGGGAGCTAGACTTTACCCTGTTGGGAAGATGAGGCTTACGGTGAACACTGAGCCGGCCAAGTCGTCGATTTGTAGACAATATTTTGTGACCGTTCACGAGTCCATTTAGCCGTCTAATCGATCTTTGATTGTAGTACGGAAACCTATGTTTCCCATCAAGTTGAAAGCCTGAAGGGGCTTGAACGAGTGCTCTCTTGGCGTACTTCCTCGGTGGTTCTACCCCGCCCATGACTCGAGTCGGATTAGCCGGTGATGCCGAGAGGGATCCGTCTGACTTTGTGACGGGAAAATTGCTGTTCATCATACTGAAGCTAGTCACATCATCGGTATTTTTCTCTCCAAGAAACCGGTTGCTTTCATTGTTATTGGCAATCTGATACAATGAATCAGTTCTATCAACACTATCCCCAAAGATCTTGACATTATTTACAGAAGTTGGATTCTTTGTCATTTTCGAGTTTTTATTGCCGATGTTGCGATGAGTTAATATACCAACACCGTGTATTCTTATGGGCATCGACATAAGCCCCATGATCAAGAAGGCGAGGAACAGTATGGATATCTGCATTCTGATTGATTGATTTCCGAAAAGCTTGAGGTACTAGATATGAAGATGATAATTGTCTCGGCGAATAAGGTTCTAGTTCGGTGAGATGAGTATAGTCGGAAGAGATGGGCTTTAGAAAGAGCGAGTGGGCTTCTTTTATAGTCCTTTCCCTCCTCTTATTCCTTATCAAAAACTCACGCCAATCATCTCCAATAATCAACACTTCTCTCTATTTCCCAACTCTCGAGACACGTGTGATCAGAGTAAACAGGCAACAGATAATCTCGGCATCGAGTGACTAGCTTACTCTACTGAAGTTGACGGTGCCGAGCTAAAGTGGGGTCGGCTAATACACTCCATAATCGGACTTTGCACATTTTCGAATTATTGATTCGCCTTGAAAAAATGAATACGTGCTAGTCGCTTCTGATAGCTACCAGCTTAGTGCTGTTATAGAGCTGGACGAAAGTAGCTCGAGGATCGTGGCAAATAGCCGCCACTTCCACAGCTATTTTCGTATCCGCAAATTATCGAAATCAACGGCACGTTCGGGAAATATGGCAGTGATCGAAGATTTTCTTCTTTGACTAGAGTCTCCAAAAAAACGCATTCAGATATCCCTCATTTGTTGCAGCCGGATAAAAATATGGAGCTTGATTTGAATGCAGCAGCTTCATAACATGTTCATGACTATCTCTCGAGCCTTGAAGGAGAGCCATGTGTATATAATGTTGTTGTCATGATGGAAGAAAAATAAAGAGCTTGAGTTGCTCAGCCTTGACTTTCCTCTTTCCAAAATAGCTAGTACTGATTATCTCATCTTATCAATTACATGCCTGCCTGCTTGCTTGCCACGCATGACGCCAGTCCGCAGTGATGATATCGAGAAAAGTGATGGTTGATATGTCGCTGAGACTAAAAAGTAGCCTCATAAGCTGATTCGGATTATCATGAAATTCTTCGATTAGGCTAATGTTGTTCGGTAGTTGTACATGTAACAAGCTCATAACAAGGCGGGCTTTGATGTAGTTGCATCGAACACATAAAGCTGTAACGTAAGGTTTCTTGGAATAAAAATATTCGCTAATTTTTGGTGAAGCATTTTTCTTGTAGAAAGAGCATATAAGCTTGTATAGATTGAGTGGGGTAGCTGTGATATACCTAAACTAACAACACTGGATCTCAAATTTACAATCTATGAAGAATTTTAATGTTGAATGGCTGCTTTTCCCAGCATTCTAGGGAACAAAGTCACGATGTAGGCCGAAATGAACAGTGTGTGTAGAGTTTTCGAGAACTTGTAAACTTCAGATCCTTTGTTAACCGTGAGAGCTCCATTTTCGGAGGGCAAGACTAAACAACTGTACGCGGAACCTCCTACGAGCCGGGGAGTGAAATATTCACCCAGAGCCAAGCTCAGTTAAATTTCGCAATATCAAAGAACTTGGTCCGCGAGGCAAAAATTCAAAATACTCCACCACGTCGCTTTTTCACTCCCAACGAGTTTGACGCCTACCTAAGTCTCATCAAGTCTACAAGTACGACCTAGTACATCCTCATCCCTATGACCACACCTCTCTTCGACCTTCTCTGGTCTCAGCCGGTCACCAAATACACGCACACGCCGATATTTATACCCCACGGAGTAAGCAAAGCTTGGCGCACTAATTTGGGAGATAGCTCTTTGGGATGGACGTGAGAGGGATCAGGACAAGTATTCAGTATGATGCAGAGGAAGGACTTAACATCGACTGGCGTGAAATCCTAAATTTTGGCAAGAGTTTTACGAATTGAGCTTTGTGCGCGCCAAGACTTCGCTTGCGAGAGTGCAGCTTACAATATAAAAACAAGCCAACATTGGAAGGTTCCGTGGTTCGGCCCCTGGTAGTTTCCTCTGGTATGGTTTGAGTAATTAATCAATTACTTCATTTTATTATCCTGTCTAAGTCTATGACTATGTAGGACATGCAGGTCCTCTCTGTCTATAGGCCAAGGATACCTACACCAGTAGTATATCCCATCCTATGAGTCCCATACAGCTCCCCTCAAACAGTATCACCCCTCACAAGCCCTCATTCGATCTTACACTTAAAGGAGCCCTTTGCCCTTCATTATCTCCCCTTTCTAGCCAACGAAACGATGGCCATTTGCGGGTGTGTGGCAGCCGGGAAAAATCGCAAAATCACTGGGTGCGGGGCTCTCCTATTACCGACATTAGGGCTAAATCCGAAGATATATTTGTGGATCCTGAAAAGATCTACATTGTCACGGGTTAGTCAGATTTTGGATGTACGGCACATAGACAAAATGCTAGTGTCTTATGGTCTCACACGATCAGATCGCACAGTCACAAGAGTAGATCTCACTAGAGCTGAGGGGTAACAGAGTATTGATGTATATAGACCCATAGATATCCTACATTTAGGGATAGATATGAATTCACGTATCAGTCTCAAGCTCTACACAAGATCCATTGTAGTTAGGAGCCACGAGACACCACGTGATAACATTTCATTCTTACGCACACACACCCACAATTTACTAGGTACAAAACGCGCGCCCAGAAACCTCATAGTGACCCATCTGAAGCGTTCGAAGAGGCCGGCCACCTGGGCGCTGCAGACTTGTGTGTACCTCGGGAAATTCACACTCTGCCTTTCTAGCCTCCTTCCAACTCTTTCCCGAAGGTCGTGCTGAAATGTCAGAAAAGTCTTGACAGAGCGTGATTGCTGTATAGTAGCTTAGCCTAACTTCTTTTGTGCCGTCCAGGGCGCTGGGGAGTGCCGTTGACTTATCGACAAAAGAAGTCCTCCTGGCTAATTAGCCGAAATCTCGGTCTTGGCGCCCACAAAAAATCAAAAGTTGAAAACTCCTCGAAAATATCGGTCCCAGCATGATCTTCAGAGACCTGATCCACCCCCTCTTGCTCCACGTCTCAGCCGCCTATTCTTCCTCATGTTGTTTGTCCCAATAGAGCAACAGTCTCCCATAAGCCATGACCCAGGCTTTGTATTTTTCGACTTGATTTCCTCTTTGCGGTATAAATAGTGTCGGTAAATCGATCGTATTTGGGCAGTATGAATTGTTCTATCTAATTGCGGTATTCGGGTTGTCGTTGGGACACTAACAGGGACCTGACTTAGCTCATTAGCGAGGCGCTTGGAGTAGAGGAAGAAAGGGGAGATGGAAAGAAGAAAGATGAGACAACGTTTTATGTATTTCGAGATACCAGTTAATTGAGATTATTCACCGACTTCGTGACGTACAGCTGACTTCGTGACGGCATCCAATTTGTATTACTTCGTGTTTTACCAACAAATAGCGTCGTAAATATGTAGAGAGAGATGGCTTGATATTAGTGGAGCAAGCTCCTGTACGCAATTGGAGCAACTTCTTTATTGGTCGTTGAGGCGAGATGATGCGTGGTTGGAGATGGGTTGAGGACTCTGATGATAATGATGAGAGAGGCATTGTCGAGAAGTTGTCAAATGGAGATGTGTATGAGGTTGCTTTCGACTTCGATTCGGATGCGATTCTTCTTGGCTATCCCAGATATGCAGAGCATACTGAGCGACTACACTGACACCAACGGAAGATGAAGAATTCGTCTTTGCCGGCTATGGTTTGAGTAGCCTGGGCACATACTCCACATGGGAAGGAGACATCTCAGACCATATTTCGCGCGGAGAAAGTTGAAAGATGATGGAGGCATGTCTGGATAACTCAGGGTTTTTGAGACGTTCCCCTGGGTGGGTATTCACGGATGAGGGTTGACTTGGGGTGAAGAAAAAGCCACCATAACTTCGCAGTGGTACTTGCAAATGAAATCTGAGGCATGATTACTCTTCATTTACGTTGAATCATTTATTCTGTAATTTTCTTTGATAATGTGTCATAGCTAGATAGCTGCATACGCAAAATCTGATGCAAAAAAAAAAAACTACATCCGAGCCTCCTTGGGATTGCTACTGCGTTGGAGCAATCAGAACGCGAACGAAAGCAGAGAATGAGCCTAGCTCAAGATTTTCTGCAAAGTATCGACGCCTGGGCGAAATCCAAGTCAAGAGTGGAAGGCGCGGTTCTAGTCGCACCATTCATCGAAAAAATATCACCTACAGTGACAGCATTTGCAATAGGAAAGGCCGATGCCACAGTCCCCAAAGGCAAAACCCCTTACCCCGAAGTCACGGAGATAACAACCTCTGCGCCTAGGGCTACAAAAACAAGCGATAAGTCGCAACATCAACTGCCTCAAAAGCCACAGGATACTGCGAACCCGTGGGTTACAGTAGCTCGGAAAGCGGCTAAGCTCCCAGATCCACCCGCGTTCCCCACCCCTCGAAGGCCTACTACAGATGTAAAGCCTAACGCACAAAACCCCCCAAAAGAAGACAAAAGTCTCTTTGTTAGATTGGGGCAAGAACATGGCTGGGGCAAATTGTCTCCAGTCACAATAAAGAAGTTGATCACTGGGAAAGCTGGAGTTGCAGCATCTACAATCACGGCTATGCATCAGGTTTGATCAGGCCTAACACTGGAGTGCGCATCAGACTGGCTTCGAGAAACAATACTGGGAGTTTCTGGAATATTTCAGCAAGAAAACATCTGCATCGAAGCAGCGTCGGACTGGACGTCAATGATAGTGCCACACGTACCACTATATATCAGAACACTCGAAGGCAGTATTTCGGTAATTAGCGAAATGGTTACAACGGAATATCAAGCTAGATGTGGTGTCACACCAGTGCAGGTGCGACCGAACCCAGCTAGTCTTGGACAATATTTTACGAGTTGGATTATTCACTTCAAACAGAACCCGGCAAACTGTAAGCTCAGGCTCTTCGACGAAAGCGGACCAGCAATTCCGTTCGTTCGCCAACGCCCCATGGAACAGTGTCAGAGATGCTGGGGATTTCACAACATACGGTCATGCACCAAAGGACAAAGGTGCGCAAGATACACTGGAGTACACGAGACAAATGAATGACGATTCAAGGTACCTAAATTTGCAAATTGCACAG